TGATGAAGACCTTTCATGCAGCAGCCTTTGTACATCCACGTTTTCTAGCAAGTGAGTCGCTTATATCAAACCTAGAATGTAAGATGTTGGTAATTCAGCAGTCCAAAGCAGCTCTGGATTTTCATGAAATGTTATAAATCCAGACACACTTGTGGAAACATTAACATTTTCATTTTCTGGCAAAAGGAAGGCTTTTTTAAAACCCAGTATTTTAATACTTGCCGGACTTGTCTATTGCACATACCTATTTACTCGCTCTTTTCTGCCTGTACATTTGTATCATTCTTTGACGGAAAACATCAAATGTATCTTCTTTATTTTCTTCCCCTGCAACACCCAAGCCCTCCCCTGCAGAGGTTGTACCCCTAGGGAGTAAAATGGATAGTTAGCACAGTTTGTTTCAGTTACATCTGACAAAGTGCAGAAAAGATCTAGAACAACAATAGCTTCCAATATAGACACGATTCAAATAAAAACCTAACTCAGGTTGTCAATGTCCCTTATGATGCAGCTCACCTGGCATATTAATCCCCCATGCACTCAACAATGAGAAGCAAAGCTCTCGTGATACAATTGGCTGAAGACTGTCATCTAGTAAATCAGTTTCTTGCATGAACTCCTCAGAGTTGATCACCTGATCTATGTTATGCAAGGTCCCTATTACAGATCACAACACCCCATGGTTGCTTTGCTGCTTATTGATTTACATGAACTTGAGAAATGAAGTACAGGGAACACTACCCAAATCCGTAGTGCACATCAAATCTTCACTGAAGGACTTTGATAGTGTCTATTGATAACTTCTAACATCCAGCAAGCTGAAGCCTCCTGAGACCTATTCCTTATCAAAACTTCAGAGTGCATCTTCAAGAAGGAAGCGTGTCACTAATCCTAATTTCTTTCCACAGACGAGCCAATGGAAGGAGAAAGACCTTGGCAATTTAAGATCAGCTTCTTACTGCGGATGGAGCTGGACCGGATGAGCTACGAGAATTTAAGCTGGTTAAAAGCATCACCTCTCTAGGCCACATGGGTAGAAAAAAAATCTATGTCCCAAAATGTAGGTTTATGAAAGCTTCTCTGCCAAAACGAACAACCCTCTGCAGAAGTTTCATCCTGAACACAATCACAGGGCCTGATGAGTTGGAACTGGGATTGCTGTGCCACAAAGGAAGCTCTGAGAGCACGAGTGGCAACAATGAGGAAACCAGCCCTATTTAAACTTTTCAAAGCCCATGGTCACCACATAAACCAAGAAGAGGCTGTACAGCCCTGGAATACCTGAGCACCGAGTCCAATTCATCTTTGTAGTCCACAAGACATTTAGGACTGCAACCCAGTTCCAAGGAGGACGGGTTTTCCTTGCGAAGCCTGCAATATTAGAATCTGCCTTGGGGGCTGCAAGACCAAGTTAAACCATCTTTAGGAAGAACATAAAGGCACCTAATAACCCTGTGGCTTCCTGTCAGGGATAGGCCAGTGCTCAAAGTATGCTTTACTTTGCATTAAGTCACCATATTCTCAATACCAAAGTCCTCCCCAAAGACACTGCTACAATGCCAACAAATAGCAAATAAGTATGTAACTTCCTGTAATCGTCGCCCCTCTGGACTGCCCAATGCATTTCTTCCATTTCATATTTTACAGTAAATTCTTTTCTTTGCAGCAGGCATAGTCTTCATTTTGTGATGTAGAGTGAACCACTGGTCCCTAAGTTTGTGAATCAAAAAGACTTCATAGTATTTCCTACAATACAGACCCCCCTGCTTCTGGGATGATTCGGAGTAAGAACTTAAGCAGCCTTTTAGAAAAGCTAGATGATAACTCAATGAGTTTATATAAAACTTCCCTCCTTCAGATTTTCCCTTCCCTCAGTTCAGCTTCAAATTGGCCAAATTCAGAGCTGAAGCAGATTAATTCCCTGAAGAGAAAAGGAAATGGCCCTACAACTTCTAGAGCCCTTAGCTCCACAAGGAAACATTATGTTTCACAAAGGAAGTGTAGAAGACTACGTGGAAGAAGACATCCAGAAGGAAACGTGAGTTATACTCCCAGCATTCCCAAGGCTAGTTCTGATCTTTCTGTATTGGATGGCAAGTTTTTAAGATTTTGCCTTATTATCACATGAAGACTGGCAGGCCTGTGTGCAGTAATCCCAGAGGCAAGCCCTACTACTGCTATATCAGAATGATCAAAAGTTATTCAATTCAGTGTTGGACTGCTTCCAAACCAACACACTCCACTTCACTCCCTTCTCTTTGAAAAGAGAGTATTGGATAACTTGTGGGCCTTTTAACTACAAATCATATTAGTATTTGACAGACAAGGGGCTAGTAGTTCCAAAGGGGAGAAAAACCAAAGAACATGGATCCCTCCAAGTGAATTTTATGATCAGATCACCAGATCATTAGATGCAGGGGTAGCAGTGGACATAGTCTTCCTGGACTTCCGGAAGGCTTTTGACACTGTCTCTCACCCCGTTCTCATTAAGAAAATGGGAGGCTGTGGTGTAGACACCCACACAGTCAAATGGGTCACCAACTGGCTGGAGGGCCGCACCCAGAGGGTGGTAGTGGATGGGTCCTTCTCAACTTGGAAGGACGTGGGCAGTGGGGTTCCGCAGGGCTCGGTCCTCGGGCCCGCACTGTTCAACATCTTCATCAGTGATTTGGACGAGGGGGTGAAAAGCACCCTGTTCAAATTTGCTGATGACACTAAGATGTGGGGGGACGTGGGCACACTAGAAGGAAGAAGCAGGCTACAATCGGACCTGGACAGGTTACAAGGGTGGGCGGATAAGAATAGGATGGGTTTCAACACAGACAAGTGCAAGGTGATGCACCTGGGGAGGAACAACCGGCACCATACCTACAGGTTAGGGAACTCCCCTCTTGTCAGCACGGAGGCGGAAAAGGATCTTGGAGTCATCATTGACTCCAAGATGAACATGGGTCGGCAGTGTGGGGAGGCAGTTAGGAAGGCCAACCGCACCTTGTCATGCATCCACAGATGCATCTCGAGCAGGTCCAGAGAGGTGATCCTCCCCCTTTATGCGGCACTGGTCAGGCCGCAGTTGGAGTACTGCGTCCAGTTCTGGGCGCCGCACTTCAAGAGGGATGTGGACAGCATGGAGAGGGTCCAGAGGAGGGCCACTCGCATGATCAGGGGACTGCAGGGCAGGCCCTATGAGGAGAGACTATGGGACCTGAACCTGTTCAGCCTCCACAAGAGAAGGCTGAGGGGGGATCTTGTGGCCTGTTACAAACTAGTCAGGGGGGATCAGAAGGCATTGGGGGAGTCACTGTTCCCCCGAGCACAGCCAGGAGTGACCAGGAACAACGGTCACAAGCTAGCAGAGGGTAGGTTTAGGTTAGACATCAGAAGGCACTATTTCACAATCAGGGCGGCTAGGGTCTGGAACCTACTTCCAAGGGAGGTGGTGCAGGCTCCTACCCTGGGGGTTTTTAAGAAGAGGTTAGGTGAACACCTTGCTGGGGTCGTTTAACCCCAGTACTCTTTCCTGCCATGGCAGGGGGTCGGACTAGATGATCTTCTCAGGTCCCTTCCGACCCTAGAAACTATGAAACTATGAATAAAACCTGAACTATCCATCTAGGCCATTAGAGAGAGAGACACAAAGACAAACTGCATACTGTAGATTGGCTTCAGTTTCATTAGGCCCATCTGAATTTGGGTTCAAAGTACATGTCTGGAGGGAAAGGAAAGAGCAGTGGATGCCAACAGAACATCTAGTGCTTCCATTATTTAAGGTAGGCAACAGCAGATAAATTAAATAAAAAAAATAAAATACAATAAACATAATTTACTTCCTTGTTGAGAAGGTCTAAACCTCCTTTAGAATCTAGCACGCTAACTGCTAAACTGGCCAGACAAAATTAAATGCTCAACTACTGGCTGCATGCTGAGATGTTTCAGGAGCTGTTAAAAGCAAAGGCCTACAAATGTTATTAGCTCCACCAAGTTTTGGAGTGAAGACCTCTAGACACCCAAACCCATGATCCTATATACAGGTGGACAACAGAAAGCTCTAGAAAAACAGGCATGACCAAAGGCCCTGATCAACAAAATGATTTCTGTCAAAGATAAGGACAGGGGAAGACTTCCCCCCCAAGAAAGAAAACAGTAAACCCACGCACTACTTCAGCCAGCCAGAGAGCTCTCTGTACAGGTAAGGGAGCAAGATTAGAAATATTTTGCACACTTTGTTTACATCCGTAGGTGAAAGGAGCCGTTACCATCAGGGTTGGCTGTAGAGGACACTGGAGGAAGAAAAATATTAACATGCAGAACTGAGATTTAAAAACAAGAATATGCATTTCAAGAAAACAAAATGCTTACCTTCTGGCAACGCACTTACCTCTTTGTGGGATGCAGGAGAAAGAATCTTTTGTTTAGTGTAGATTGTGTGCTACCTTAACCCAGAAGTAGTGTGTGTGTGTGCAACTCCTGTGAAGTCTATTTATATATGCAATGCACCTATCACTGTAATATCCAGGCACTTATGAAAACTCTACATGCAGGCTTGCAAGTTAAACCCCAATGCGTATTTTTTCTTCTAACAAAGTGCACCCATATACAATTACAAGGCTTCCACATGCACCAGGGTGCCTTCCAGGGTTTACATGGGCTAAAGGGCATCAG